TTGTTCTTCTGGCAGTCCATGGTATATTCAATATTCTTCACCAACACCACAATTCAAAGGCATCAATTCTTCTTTGGTCTTCCTTATTCATTGTCTAGCTTTTGCATGCATATGATGCGATTGAAAATACCATGGCTTGGGGTCAGGCGCACCTTAGTCTTCAAGGTGACGTCTTTGCTTTTCATCTGTGCATGGTGTATATTCCCTCAATTAAATTTCTGTGGCTTTTTACCCTTTAATCTGCCCACACCACCCAACTCCTGTTCCCAACAGCCTGGGAGAAAAGCCCTGGAACGCACGATTCTCCCAAAATTCACAAGCCACAGAGACCCAGAAATAAACACAATGGAAAATACACAGCAGCATACACATGGCCCATGTGTGTATAGCATTGTGTTATGTGTCTGAATTGTATATATCCCAGCCATCTTGAAAGGTGTGTGGGGCCTGTATTAGTTTCCTAGGGCTGCTCTAAAACATATCACAAACTGGGTGGCTTACAGAAACAGAAATTTACTGTCTTTCAGTTCTGGAGGATAGAAGTCCCAATCAATGTATTGTTTGGGCCGTGCTGCCTTGGAAGGCTCTAGGGGAAGATCCTTTCTTGTCTTGCCCAGCTTCTGGTAGCCCCAGGCTTGTAGATGCATCTGCACATGGTTGTCCTTCCTCTGCCTCTTCTCTGTTTTAGGGACACCACTCATACTGGATCAGGACCCACCCTACTCCAGTATAACCTCGTGTTAACTGATAACATATTCAAAGACCGTATTTCCAAACAAGGTCATATTCACAGGGCTTAGGACTTCAACACATCTTTCTGAGGAACACAATTTAATCCATAACGGGGCCTCACTGGGTTTACTGGTTGTCATGGGCCACAGACCATGAGTTTTTCTACAGAATTGACAATCAGGGAAATGAGAACATTAACTGGCTATCTGATGATATTATTAAGGCAATATTATTATTGTTTCAGCTGTGATAATGGTATTGAGGATACATTTTTTAAAAAACAACTTATCCTTTAGAGATACATATAAAAATAACTTGGGCTTGGGGAGAGAATGGGGTGGGGATACTGATGACACAAAATTGGCCGAGTTAATAACTGTTGAAGCTGGGTGAAGGGTACCTGAGTTTATTATACTAGTTTTTGACATTTGTATGTATTGGAAAATTTCCATAATAAAATATTAAAAACAAACAAAAAGATAGGATCTGACTGAAGGAGAAACCACAAATCCATAGTCTTCAGGAGCTACAGGAGGGGGCGGCTGCAGAAGTTTAAGATATTTTTTCCTTAACAAAGACCCAAAGACACTCTGAGGTTGGTGACAAGTTGAGGGAGTGAGAAAGGTCCTGAGCCACTTACCAGGGCCAATCACTAAACGATATTTCCACTATACTGCAAAGTCGAAAATAAGTGCTGAATACCGAAGGCTGTCCACAATTACACATTTATTCTGTCTAGAGAGACAACACAGATAAAGTACTTGGATCTTACACAAGTTTATATTTGGTAAAAACAGGTTGCCACATGTTTGCATTTTTTATTTTTATTTTTTTCTGTCTTTAGTAATGAAGTAATGTCGATGTCTTTCAGAAACACCAGTTAGGAACAGTATTTGGCACACGTAACTAAATAAGTACACAGTGTTTGCACTTAGCATTTGAAAACAGAAGAGCACGTGCAAGATGGTTCCCAGTTTTAGGGTCCTTGACTCCTTGTCCTGCTACTATATTTACACGCTTGCTCCATATTCTGAGGAGTAGCAGCTACTCCCAGGCCCAGCAGGGTTAATACCTGCCAATTTAGCAGTTTGTGACACTCCATAATTGGTTTCTTCTATTCTCAGAGACAAAGTTGTGTTTCTACCTTGCATTTTTGTTAAATTACACAATTCTCCAAGGGGATTTCTCAATATGGGGTAGCTGAGGGCATGTTCTCTATTAGAGCTAACGTGGAGGGCACACAGTTTAGTAGCGAGTACAGGGACAGATGCGAATGTGGTTCTCATAATATCAAAGTTCAGTACAGCTACCACACAGAAAAAGACAGATCAATAATATATTGTACAAGCTTTTACAGCAACACATGTTGATTTACAACACTGTACAGTTCAGACCTAAAGTGCACGACCCCAATCTGAGGTGACAATACTATCAATATAATAAAGGCAACACAGTCACAGACACAGTTGAGTTCCTTTTCTTCCCTCACATCCTTGTGATGTTACATGAAGTCAGTACCATTTATAAATCTCAGATAAAATAAAGACATACTGCACTTTTTTTCACGTACTTTAAAATAATAAACACAATATTGCTGTATAAATGAAAATGTCCATGTTAATTCTTGTTAAAGTGAAAACGAAAATTTTCTAAAATTTGTAAAGAATGGGCCCATATAAAGGCCCTTGGCACTGGCAGTTTGGGCTAATGTTCAAAAAGCCCTTCTTTCTTTCCTTCTTTCCTTCATTCCTTCTTTCTTTCCTTCCTTCCTTCCCTCCCTCCTTCTCCCCTTCCTTCCTTCTTTCCTCCCTCATTTCTTTTCTTCCTTCTTTACTCCCTCCCTCCCTCTCTCTCTCCTTTCTTTCCTTCCTTCTGAGTGGATTACAGACCTTCTTTAAAGAATATTTGTTAAACTTTTGGGACCTATTAGGTTTTTATTTTGCCTCCATCCTGGCTGTGGCTGGCAGGAATTTCACTGCACAGGATTGAGCAAAGCTCCTAGCAAACTTGGGAAAGGACCCGGAAAGGCAGGGGGTGGGAGAAAATAACCTATTGGTAAAACATATTTTGTTGAAATTTTATACATAGGCACAAATGTTTCTCCTTGTAAATTCTGCCATGTTATCAAGTTAAAAAGCAGCAGCTTCTGACATAGGATCTGTACCCCAAGGGAATAAGAGGAGTTGGTTTAGATCAGGGGCACTGTCTTCAAGCAAGGTAGTAGGTTTGATAAACTATCTCTGCCTCAGAAGTTGGACCATTGGCCTGAGGCTCAAGATACATGGGCAGCTTATTCTCAACATCCAATTTCTAGAAGTTTCTAGAAAAGGAAGAGATACTTGGCCATTAGACAAAGTCTAGAATGTGAGGCTTGTTCTTTCATGAAATTCTGGGACACAAAGAGTTTTCATCTTATCATCACAGGGAATCTGTTTGCTTTCTGGACAGAAAGAGCCTGAAGCCATGTTCACATCAAGTGAGGCTAAAAGAAAGTTTTTGTATATAATCTGGGAAACATAACTTAGGAGCAAGCTCATGAAGATTTCAGATGGTTGGATTCTGTAGTATATTAGGGGATTTCTATCAGTGGAAGAACAAGGTCCTCTTCCATTACTCGTACACCTGTAGTCTTTCTGACTAAAGATGTGGTCCATTCAGAAAGGGTGGATATTTCTAAATTTGTATCTGAGGCCTGCATATACAAATCTGTAGTCCTACTGCTACTAGCAATTGGCATCTGACATTCTGTGGCCGCATAAAAATTTATGGGGGCTTTTGTTAGCTCATGTCTCACCACCAGGTTTGCAGGGAAAAAGGATGTTTTAAAAATATTATTTTGAGTTCTAAGGATCTGATTATCATTGCATTTTCTGGCCACTTTGGATCTTGATGGGAAACAGATAAAAAGAAGGTCTTAAAATGATGTCTCCAAGTCAAGAGTGAGGAGCCCATTTCACGGGTGGAAAATAAACACCCATGGAATAGAAAATTATTTGGAATCCCAGTCATAGGTAGCCTAGCAGGAAAGATGTTTGTGAGTTGGAATGGGGAGGGAATGGAATAAGCAGTTACCCAGGATGTAAATTACTCCTTCCTGCACTGTGGCAATATAGCGTCCAGGATGATGTCATCATTCTCATACAGAGAACTCTCCTACCAAAACCAAGTTTAATTTTCTGGGCTCACCACATTCAGGGAGCGTGCTTCATTCCTCTTTACTCAGGGCAATTAAATTTTATTTTTATTTTCCCTAATTAATTGAAATGACCAAATAAAAGAATACTGTTTGGGAAGATGCCTCAAAAATCAGCATCAACCTCCTGTTCAAAATAGGCCAAACTGGAAAGCAGATTGAGAAGATCACTCTAATTTAATCTAAGATGAAGCTTGGTTTGTTGTGCTTACTGGTAGGTCTGCTAAGGGTCAACAGGGTGGAAAATTTCAATGGGAAGAGAATCTTATTGTTGACTGTAACTGATCTGATCCACCATTTTAAAGAGCTTGCAGTATTCTTTCATGTTTGTTTTGAGATACTCACTTTAAAGATGTGATAAACCATAACATGTACAGAAAGAAGGCATCTTACCTTTTAAGAATTTTGTGGGCCTATGTTTCAAAATAACTTTGCTAAGTGTTTTATTATGTTTACATTAAAAGAAAATCTGGCTTAGTTTTTATATCTTCCCCTGCAGTTTGTATAACTCATATAAAATAAAAATCTGTATGTTACAAAATAGGATTTCTTTTTAATATATATATTTTGCTTTTGTAAAATTATATGTATTTAAATACATTTGAAATGTTGCTATAGGTAAATTAGAATTTTTTTTTCCTAATACTATGAAAAAGGCAAGAGTTTTTATTTGTCAACATACATTTTATATTTACTTTATCCTTTCACTGCACCCCAAAGAACCTTTTATGATTCAGGGGGCAATTTGGCACCGTTCAATCCTACTACTTCAATGTGAAAATAAAGTTTGATTTGCACACTATATTAAAAGTAAGGGAAGTATTTATAACAATTTGAAGCTTTTCCTAATTGATTAGAACACAGCCTTTTGTCACTAATTACTAGAGAGGTATTCTAAACTTAAGAAAGGATTTTTAAAAGGATTAACGTTTTTTGATTTTTAAACTGTACTCTACTTTGACACCACAATATAGAAATAGATTTACTTTGGAACAAACTACAAATACATTCACACAGTTTGTGACAACTAAATTGTCTACTTTTAGAACTGTAACAGCTTAGTGTGCTTAAGTTATTACAAATCTTGTCCAAGGCGTTCTATTTCTTCAATCAGGAAGTCAATGTCTTGATGAGTTGCTGCGGGGTTTGAGATGACCATGCGGAAGAAGTTGACCTTGTCTCCCAAGGGCTGGTAGCTGACCATTGTGGCCCCATACTCCATCATTCTGGCTTTAATCACTGGAGCCACCTGTGGGAGAGACCAGATCAACCTGGTGACTGTTGCTCCCCAAGACTCTCCCCTTAGTCAAAGGACCCAATATCAAGTAGACTTGTTTTTAACAAAACAATTGGAGCCATACTTGTTTTCCCTTGAGGGAACTGCCTCCACTTTTTCTTCAAGATCTTAAGGATGATAAGAGGAATAATAAATGGTAGGATATTTGTCTCACACTTATTAGGTGCTTATAACCATATACCTTTACTTTCTAGTCAGTGTTTTGGGAGAATGGGAAAAATCTGATATTGATTACAAAGTTAAATGGTTTAGCTATACAACATTTTGGTGGAGTTTTGTTTTTATATTTAAGAGTTGTAATGACCCAGTAAATGCAAAAACATTGAAAATAAAACATAGTTCAGAGAATTGTTACCAAGAAGTAATAATGATGTAGGAAGAGACTTTTGGCAACTTTCTTGAGATCCTCAAGATTTCATTCCCCTTTTGCATTGCCCTAGTTTATAAGATATTTTGAAAGTCATTCCTTAAAAATGTTAGAGAAGCAGCTGGACAAAAAGTTGAGCCCACAAAGGATTTTACATACAGAGGTGTATCACAGACAGATTTTTCCACATTTATGCCAGACTGATGATGACAGTTTCAATAGTTCTCTTTTTTGTTTTATTTTGTTAGGTGCTGTTTTAGTCATCTCATGCTGCTATAACAGAAATACCACAAGTGGATGGCTTTAACAAAGAGAATTTTATTTCCTCACAGTAAAGTAGGCTAAAAGTCCA